CCAGCCCCTCTCTGCAGTAACCGGAGAAAACCGCGGCTCATGCGGCCAGCCCCGGGCGGACGCCGCTGAGGGCCCGCTCGGAACACACCTGGCTGCCTTCCCCTTTCCACCCGCAGACGGTTTCCGGCACCTTCGGAGGCGAACCCCCAAACCCCTAACCGCAACTCTCCCCAGTGAGCACTCACTGTAAAGGGTGGAATGCTTTGCCCGGTCCTCCCTCTGCTTCCCTCTATTTTAAATAGGTAACACTCCACTGACCGGCTAAGAAAGCATGCACTGAGGCTCTCCGATACCGCGCGAAGAGTGACGGACAGCACTGTCCTAACATTCCCCCTCTTCAGACAGCCCAAAATCTGACCCTTCACCTCAAAGCTCGTCACAAAGGGGTTTCTCTTCTGAATGCCCTTTTCTCTTAACTCCTCAGGAGGCGACTCGGGCTTCGTGCCCACCCGAAGGCGCAGGCTCGCAAGACCGAATCCGAAACCCTCTCGATTACGAGGAGACAAGAAACACGCTGAAAGGCCCGTGTGGCCGTCCGTGGCAGGACGATACGCACAACCGCCACCACTTCAAAATCCTCCAGATCAGCGCTCCCGCTGGCCCTGCGGGCTCGTCACGGAGACCCACCCTGAGCGCCTCCTCTCAGCCTAGCCCGAGGCCGGGGCCCAGGGTGCGAGGCGCACCGACCCCGCCGGGCCCCACCTAATGTTGCCAGGCTCTAGAACATGGAGGGCGTCAGGGCACAGGGCGCGGACTCACGTTTGTACTCGGCCATCAGCCTCTTGAGCGCCGTCCCGGCCATGGTATAGACAGCAGCCTCGCCTCCTCGGCGCTCGTCCCACCCCCAGACACCCGGCGCTGCTTCCGGGCAGGGCGCAGGCCTGCAAGTTCTTCCGGGGCGCAGCGCGCGCACGCGCAGTGGTGAAGTGCCAGTGCGGGGTAGCGGAAGCGGGCCTCCGCGTCGCGGTTTGGGCTTCTCTGGATTCCAACAGATCGGTGGGTGGAGCTCCGAGCTTCAGAGGAGTACTTGGACTGCCAGGATCAGAGCCCCACCGCACCCGTGCCCCCTTCCGGTCTGGCCGTCCAGACACCTCAGAAGGCCGTACTGATACCAGCTCCCAGCGTATTTAGCTCTGGAAAGCCGCTGCCCCCATCCGCCAACCTCCGACCAGGCAGTGCCCATCTCTCCCCATTCCCCTGTGCTTGGACCATAGCTGCTCAACGTGGCCTACCGGCTATACTTTAAATAACGACCCCCTCATCGCCAACCCGATCTTACCTCACATCTCACTTTTATTCCCGGCCCCCACTCCGCCAGCCGCAACATTTACTCTCTTAATACCTTACTCTCTTAATACCTGCCGTAGTATAGACCTTACTAGCAGGCTCCCGAGGTTAGAGACATTCCTCTAACCTTGTCCCATGAGGACAAAGGGTCTTTGTCGAATTCTGATCTATTCCTGGATGCTCGCAGTAAATATTTGTCAAATTGTGTGATTGTCAAGTTGTGTGAATTTTAAACAATGCAAACAACCCTCACAAGTATGAGTTGTGAAAATTACAGTACAATGCTATCTTTTCGAATGACCACAGTGATTTGTAAAATGAAGTGGTCCTTTGAGTGCTTTCAAAATGATTTTGCACAAATTTATTCATGAAGTTCCCTTCCCAGTCTATTGCAGATAGCGGTCTTCTCTGTGCAAACCAAACCCCAACCCTCCAGCAGTCTGTTCCCATCTCCATTAAAGGAATCCTGCAGGTAAGGAAATGTGGGTGATAAAAGCACAAGGTGACACTGAAATACTCAACGTAATTGAGTATCAGATGCTTATTTTCTTATTCCATCAATCTTTCCCAGACATAATTTTCTTACTGTGATGTTTATGTTCTGAAATGTTGCTTACAGACTGCATCAGGATTAGTTTTAGTTTCAAGGATAAATACCCAAAATATGAGTTAAACTATTAGAGATGGAGGTTTCTCTTAACCACACATGCTGGTACAATGGCCTTATCATCAGAGAACCAAGGTACCAGCAGCACCTTTCCTCCTCAGTCTTCATTCAGTTCTTTATCCATTATCTAAGTTTAAGTGGGCATCCGGCATTTGTATTTTGCTAAATCTGACATCTCTCAACTCAGACCAATTGGTACTGGAGTCCCAAGCATTCTGAGTAGCAGCTGTGTAACACTTACTAATTTTCCCTAAGTAACACACTCCAGGGAGGCCAACAAGTGCAGAATAAAATGAGTGTCTATATCTTTGGCAATTAAAGTTCTGAAACATAAAAAGGATTTCACAACTTAACTCATGTCATATGGTAGAGCTTTCAATATGAACATGTTTCTACAACTGGACATGTGTGTAACACAGCCAAGGTGACAGCCATTTTGCCTGGGGCTAATGGGTTCCTGGGATGAGCAACATTCAGTGCTAAAACTGGGATAGTTCTGGGCCAGTAGGTGGTATAGTGGTTAGGTGCTCGACTCCCACACAGCTGACTACAGTTCGAGTCTTGGACCTAGCAGCTTGAAAGTCACGCCAGGCACATGGGCATGTACGTCCAAAGTCCCAAGAGAAGAGACTGCACATGGCCATGCCCCCTAGGGGGTGATTTCTCACTTTCCCTCTCTCTGAATCTCTCTCTGGCAAGTATACACACCCTATTAACAAAAACCTAAAAAAAAAATCTGGAAAGTTCCAGTTGGGACCCTAGGCACAGATAACAGAACAAAGAAAGCATATCTCTTCCTCAGCTACTAATTTAACAAAAGATTCTGGGACTTAGGCTCATGTAATTTAATGTTTTAAAAATATGAATACAAACAGATCAATTATTCCAAATGTACAATCTGCTTAACTTCCTAGAATAAAAGACATCAAGGACACACCTTACTCCTCTTCCTATACATTAGGTGCTGTGGGTGAAATTTAAGCAGCACCATTATAATGTATTCAGGTAACATGGGGTCATTATTCTCATCTATCAATAATTTGAAGCACCTAAAGCACATCCTTCTTTACAAGGGCAGGGAGTCTTCTGCTGTTTTTTGTTTGTTTGTTTAGTTGGTTGGTTTTTTGTTTTGTTTTGTTTTGGTCAATGGGCACGTGCACTTGCCAGAGAGACTGAAACAGGGAAGGAGAGGGAGAAAGCACTCAATGGGTCATGGTCATGCCACTATCCCTTTTCCCTCCATTTCTCTATCCTGTCGGATTTGGGGCATGCATGCACATCCACCTGGCGTGTTTTTCGAGGCAACAAGGGCTAGGATTCAAGCCATTGTTGGCCATGTCAGATTTTTCTCCCTTAATCATCAGGTCACAAAACTAGGCTTCTGCTAGATTTTAATAACCCCTTTCCCACATGAGATTTAGGTGACCTAGCAATGCCTCAACCTTTGTACTGTGTTTTAATGTACTCTTGCTGGCATAAGTAAATCAAGCACACCGTTTCCTAGCTGCCCTGGACCTTTAACCTCTGTTCATTTAGCTGATGGACTGAAACAGCTCAGTCATTTTCCTGGTTTGTCACACCATAGTACATAGGTGCTTCTCAACTCAGGATGAGGTTACATCTCCAAAAACCTACTATAAATTGAAAATGAATTTAATACACTTAGCCTGCTCTACCTTACACATACACTTACATTAGCCTACAGGGGGGCAAAAACATCTAATACAATGTTTTTATTATCTTATAATAAAGGGTTAAAAACCCTGTGGGCCTGGGCCAGCAGGTAGCATGAAGGTAAGGCAATGTACTCCCACATGGCCACCTGCAGTTCGAGCCCTAGACCTGGCAGCTTAAAAATCATGCCAGGCACATGTGTGTATATGCCAAAAATACCAAAAGAAGAATAGAGAATGGATTATGGCATGGCCATCTCCCCCTGGGGAGGTGACTTCTCACTCTCGCTCTCTGACACCAGCAAGCACACACGCACTATGGGGAAAGAAAAAAATAAATAAATAAATAATCCAATGGCTTAGTGTTAGTTAAGGCAGTTGGATCTCACATGACTGGCTGATCCCACATGGCTGACTATGCATTTTGAGCCCCAAACCTGGTGGCATAGAAAATATGCTGGGCACACGTGCATGCATGCATGCCTGAAATCTCAAGAGGAGAATGGAAAAGAAGAGATTGTGGCATGGCTACCCCCCTTCTCACTTCCCCTCTCTCTCTCCCTGTCTCTCTCCAGTGAGCACACATGCCATACAGTAAGTTAAAAAAAACAAAAAACAAACAAAAAACACCTGTATAATTTACTTAATATTGTGCCAAAAGTGAACAAAGGAATAGATGTATAGGTACCTGGAATAGTTTGCTTTTGCACTATTGGTAAAATCAAAATATCATGAATCAAACCATTGTGAGTCAAGGTCCATCTTAACTGAGAAGTTCTTAAAAAGCCAAATTACCATCAGTTCACTTTGGTTTCAAAGCAGGAGAGTAGGTTGTCAACTGCACAAAAGAAAAGAAACTTATATTCAAATGTCAAAACCTGAGATGCCCCAGACCAACATCTACACTCACCTGCCTCCAAAATGTACCCTCTGTACACATGAAACTCAAGGGAGGAAAAGTAAAGTGGCATCATGATGCCAGTCAGGAGTGCTCTGGAAAGGAGAGAATGCACTTCTTGGGAGGCAGGAAGATGCTGGCTGGTGGTGGTAATCTGTGAGGGGAGAAGTAGGTAGGGGAATCATCTGGTGGGCAAGTACTAACTTCCAATGACTAGTTTGAAGTCAGAGTTCCCAGTGGCTCCCTGCAAGGTGGGTACAAACACTGAACCGCAACAGTATACCCCGACCTTCAAATGCAGGGTTTAATACAAGCCAAGAGACAGAATACCAAACTATATTTACTGTTGACAGTAGTAAAGGACAACAGGTAATGTACAAATTGGTGGATAACACAAAAGAGCCAACAGACATCCCACCCTAGCCCACAGAAATGAGAACATTTTTAGCAAGACTTCAAGCAAGCGAGACGATGGGTCATCATTCAAGCAACTATAAAAAAGGCAGAGAATGGCCACTGAGCAGCAATGGATCCTTACAGAAGGACAATAGGCAGAACTATGAAAAGTTTTAATTGTATAGATCCCGAAATATTTCACAGGACTGGAAATCACCATACTAATGCATAATTTGATACATATCTGGAAAGCAGCATAGCACGAGGCCATGAGAAGGACGTGATGTCATTTTTCCATGGTTCATGTGTAACCACGCTTGGAAGCAGCTCTTTTACACAATGTGACTGTAAATTCAGAATATTTCACCTTACTCTTTTATATGTAGATCATAATTACTCATCAGAAGCAAATGCTAGAA